CTTCCGCATCTCTTCCAGCTTCCAGTGGTTACAGGCATTCCTTGGCTTGTGGCCGCATCACTCTTAAGCCCTGCCTCTATCATCACACGGCCTGTGGGTTAAAGTCACTGGTGAGAGGCACTCAGGTCAAGATGTCTCCATCAGCCCCCACTCAGGCCGGCAGATCCTGGATGTGTGGAAGTGTCAGGCCTGGATGTTTCCCCATCTCCAACAATCCACTCAACCACTCAACTCCCCTCCCCAAGGGGAAGCAAAGTACTGTGGACTGTTATCTGCCCTATTTCAGGACTTTGAGGGTAGGTCTGTCAGTTCACCAAAGAAGGAAATGGCAACCCACTCCAGTATTTTTGCTGGAGAATCCCATGGGCAGAGGAGCCTGGTGGGCTGCCGTCTATGGGGTCACACAGAGTCGGACATGACTGAAGCAACTTAGCAGCAGCAGCAGCTGTCAGTTCACTTGTCTCTGAAGAGCATAGGAACTTTAAAAATTAACAGCTATGGTCAGATACCATAACATTCACTCATCTAAGCTGAGTGAAGTTCAACATGTTATTTTTTTTTAACATATTTACTGAATTATGCACTCATCACCATAATCTAATTCCGGAACATTTCCATCATGCCTTCAAAGAACCCCTGTGCCAGTTACCAGTCCCTTCTGTGGCTCATTGGTCCCTCGCCCCCACTGATCCACTTTCTGTCTCTGGATCTGTGGCAGCTGTTTGTGCATGTCTGTGGCTGAATTGCATCTTCTTCTGACCCTCATGCTGACTCTCAGCATTTCTCCTGAGGCCCAACTTGGCCTCATAGATCTCATAGGTGCTCAGAGCTCATTCCATTGTTCTCCGTATTGAGTCTGTCTTCACTTGAAACTCGTCTAGTCCAAAGGAAATAATCCCAGGCAGTAGATGAACCAAGAACTCTAATCTCACCAGTGTTTGTGCCTGGGAGGACACTTGCCGGGTAAATAGAGCTGCCTTCTGGCAGCTGGTATGGCTCTTGCGGGGGTTCAGAGAGGGAAGGGCACTGATTGGACTTGGTTTGTACAAAGGTTGTTCTGTCTGGAGCCAGGGCAAGGCTACTGGAGGCAGATCCTGTCTGATTTGTCCCAGCACCAGGTCTGAGTCCTTGCTGGGCACTCAGCTGACCCGGGAGGGAAGAGATGAGCCAGGAGAACAGGCCCGGAACCCAGGAATCCCCGAAGGGAAAGCATGTGGGGCAGAAGGGTGTGTGTTGTGGTCACTGTGTGCAAGTGAGACGGACCCCCCTGCACCCTGAATGTGGTTTGGACGTGGAGACTGATGGCCCCAAACCCACTAAGAGGTTATGAAAAAACTCCTTGGCTCTGAGTCTGAGGCCCCCCAAGGTGCTCGGAAAACAGCTCAAGTGCATGGTAGACTCTTCGCTCTGGCTGGGGCTAGGGGGAGGGTATCCTGATCAGCTTGTCCAGATGTGGGGGGACAGGGAGCATGAAGCTTCAAAGCTTGCCCAGACGTGGGGGGCGGTGCCTGAAGGGACACGGAGCACAAATCATCAAAGCCGTCCAGGTACAGAGCCAGACCATGTACCAAGCAGTCAACTGCAATGGGTGCCGCGGGTGGGAGACAGCTCAGACCCTGACCTTGGCGAGGGCTATGGTCTGAATAGGCCCTCCCCCAGATTGATCTGGTGAAGTCAGAAGGCCCAAGGTGATGGTGGTACCCGGAGGTGGACTTTTGGGAAGTGATGAAGCAGAGCCCTTGTGGAATTAGTCCTCTTCCAAAAGCATCTCAGGAGCTCCCTTGGCTTGTCTCTCCTGAGAGGCCAGAGTGAGAAGCTGGCTGGCTTGTAACCCTGAAGGGGGGGGGTCCTCCCTAGAACCCAACCCTGCTGGCATCCTGGACTTCCAGCCTCCCAGAACTGGGAGAAGTCCGTGTCTCTGGTGGTTTTGTTCCAGCAGCCTGAATGGACCAAGAGGATGGAATGGGCAGGGTGGGGTACCAAGGGCACAGCATGGAATCCAGGGACACAAGTAGCTTCAAGGACACGGCGTTGAGAAGGGTGGGTGGGCGGAAGGCAGTGGGGGGTGGGCAGGGAGAGGGACCCATAGGGAGGCTTGAGCAGCTGCCTTTACTGGCCCAGAAAGTGCCAATGAGCCGGGGGCAGGGGGCAGGGAAGAAACGGTGATAGTGTGATAGTGGAGTGAGAAGTTTCCAAGGAAAAGTGGCAGGGCTTCCATTGACTGGTCCTTGGGTGGAGGACCACCCTGGGGAGCAGGTGGGCAGGGCAGGCACTTTGGAGGTGAGCCCTGCCTTTGAAGAGCATGCGGGCTTTCCTGAGGTCCCGCCCGGGTTCAGCTTTCCTCTGTGCCCCAAATGCCTCTGCCCTCCTCTGCCTCATCTTTTGAGCTTCAGTGTGACCCCCTCACTCACTCATTAGTGGACAGCCCCTTTGTGAGGAGGTTGCGGCTCCCTCAGGATCACAGAGCATGGTCAGGGGTAGATAAGAAGTCTTGGCAAATATCACAGAGTCCTCTTCTGAGATGATGTCCACCCTGCCTTTATTGGCCATCTTCTCTGTGTGGGGCCTGGAGATTATCCCCAGGTGAGGTCGGGGTGGGGGGGGATGAGAGGGGACAAGGCAGGGAGGGCCTCAATAGCAGGTGTGGCTTGCCTGTGAGAGAAGAAATGCTACCCCGAGGTTGGCTGGCTCCAATTGGTGGCTAGTGAATGATTCATTTATCAACTGCTGTGCCCAGGCGGCCTGCCAGGAGGGTGCCCTGTGACCCAGTGCTTTCAAAATTAATGCGTTCATTGAGTCATTCCCTTGAGTCACATTCACAGGCACCTATTACTCACTGAGCCTAGACTCCTCACACCACAAAAGGCTCAGGGGAGAAGGAGGAATCCCAGGGGCACTGTTCAACCAGCAAGCCCAGTGGGCAAGGAGGTGACAGGCAGGCCGATGGGCCGCGGGCCAGAGGGAAGAGTGATACAGTTTGGGTGTGTTCACGTGCACACCCCATCGGACGAGAAGGGAGTGTCTGATTCCTGTGTGCGTCTGTGTGCGCATGCGTTTTGGGGAGGGGGGCATGTGCGTCCTACACAGATATGGGGAGCTGGGAGGGGTCAGGGGGGTACTGCTCTGGGCCCAAGGACAGACAGCAGTTACAGAGTGATCAAGGCATGACTTGATCACCTAGATTGCTGGTCATTTGTTATAGCAGCCCAAGAGGCTGGGGGCCCCAAGCCCCTTCACAAGCATGCACATGCATGCACACTCAGAGGTAATCAGCCCAGAGGGCCTGCCCCTTGCTTTGGACAGAGGGAACCAGAGAGAAAAATGTGGGGAGCAGTTCCTTCACTGGGCAGAGAGACCATAAACTTCGGGGAGCTGCCCAAGGCCTTTGCCATGAGTGACCAGTTAGCAGGGTGACTCCTCCAGGACTAGAAGGTCAGGCAAGGCCTTGGGCTTTCTCCTGAGGTGAAGGGGCCCTGGAGGCTGTTAGGCCAGGCAGGGTCCCCTTAGCCTCACCTGCAAAAAACTCACTCTGGTGGCTGCTGTCATGGGCAATGGTAGCCACCCCACTCCCACCAGAGATGTGTCCATGTTCTCATCCGTGGAACCGTGTGCATGTTGTCTTATTTGGCAAAAGGATCTATGCCAATGTGCAGATGTGATTAAGGACTGCAAGTTGCTACCATCCTGGATTAGTCCATAAATGCAATGACAAGTAGGGCAGAAAAAAGAGACAGACACAAGGGAAGAGGCCATGTGACAATGGAGGCAGACACTGGAATGATGTGGCTACAAGCCAAGGGACATCTGGGGCCACCAGAAGCTGGGAGACAAGGAAGGATGCTGCTATAGAGCCTCTGGAGGGAATATGGCCCTGTTGATACCTTGATTTAAAGTTCTAATGTTTTAAGTCACCTACTTTGCTGGTGATTTATTATAGCAGCACCAGGAAACCAAGCCAGCTGGTGTAGAGAGGACCAGGTGGGGGAAACTGACTAGGGAGGGGCTAAAGAAGGTGAAGGTTGGTCTTAAGGTGGCTTTGTCCTCTCAACCTTCCAAGTTCTCTCAAATGATAGGAACTGTCTGGCTGTATCAGAATGACCAGAGTGCACTGTCTATCAGTAACTTGGGGGTCCCTTTGAGGTTGTACATCCCTAATGCCTGGTGCAGAATTTCCTACTTGTAGAAGACACGAAGTGTGGGATTGCACTGGGAGCTGGATATTCAATTAACACTCATTGAGCAAACATTTCTTAAGTTCCTCCCTTGCTGCCAGGCTGGAAAGGAGAGAAGCAAGCAAGTCCCCCAGGGATGCTGGGCCCCTGGAAAAGCCTGACACAAACAGCCCTACTAACTGTCCTCATTTTGCGCACAGCGGTTCCTTCGGGGCTCATCTGTAGGTATGGGAAACTCTGGCAAAGCCGGATTTATGTTTTAGGAACACTGAGATTGAACCCCACGTCTTGTCTGGTTGGGAGACACCGTTGTGAGCTCTGGTAAGTGCCGCCTCGGCCCCACGCTGGGCCACCAGCCCGGAGCGACACTGTAGGGACTTGTCGCTCAGGTGTTAGGGGGGTTGTTTTCGCGCTCTGGCTCTAGGACTGTAACCTCCCTGCGCGTTGGAGGAGTAGCCTCCCAGGTTCCCGAGGCCGCCTGTGAGCTCCCAGGGGCGGAGTGTGTGAGTCTCCGGGGGCGCGGCCTACGCCTCCTGAGGCTGAGCGGGATGACTTCCGGAGTCCAGGCTGAGGGGCGGGGAGCGCGACAGTCGCCTGACAGACGCCTGACAAGGTGGGCCTGTGCGCTTGCGCTTGCGCTTGATCTGGAGCCTGCGCAGTCTGCCGGGCTCGCCTTCTTCACCCTCACCCGTGGGGGTGGGGAGGGCCGGCCCAGGCAGGGCGGGGCGGCACCTCGGCTCCCGCGGCGAGGACTCGCGGAGCCAGCCGCCACGCGTCTGGGCGCCTCTCCTTCCGGTGGGGGGCTCTGGGTCCGTGGGGCGGGGCCTCATGGAGGCCGGCGGCCCCGGGACCTGCGGAGGAGGGGCTGAGACACGGGGCTCGGAGGGGCGGCTGGCACCTGAGTCGAGGGTACACTTCCGAGTGACAAGGTTCATCATGGAGGCAGGTAACCGCGCCAGGAAGAGGGCGGGACGTGGGGGCCGGAGCCGCAGTGCTGCCCTAGCGTCCATCCGGCCCCCAGCCTGTCACGGGAGCCGAGAGCGGGTGGGCAGGGGCTGCTGGAGTAGGGGACCTGCTTCCCGGAGGAGGGGGACCTGCCAGACGCGGAGCTGGCATGGCTGAATGGAAGGCAGAGATCGGGCCTGTTCTGCCCGAGTGGAGGCTTGGCTTGTGGGTTCTGGCCTCAGCCTTGACGCCACACCCCGCCTCCTGGGCTTTTGGCCATTTCACAACTGGCGCCTAGGCCCCAGGAGAGGATGTGACTGGCCCTAGCTTAGAAGGTGCCTTCTGACACACCTGTCTTCCAGCATAAGGGGACGGCAGCACTTGGTCACACAGAGCCTTCTGGAACATGCCATTGGTGGCGCTCCTGATAGGTCCCGTCACAGTGAGGACCCAAGGCGTACCCTCTGTTCTGAACCCTGACACGGTGTCCCCTGTGCTGTTGGATGCCCCTGCTCCCGAGGCTGAGGCTAGGAAGCCCGTTGTATTTCCTTGCAGACATTGTTTTTCTGTCAAAAATGCTAGGTTGTTTCCGATCTTGATTACTTGGTGTACACCCTGAGGAAGAGGGGTTTGAGTGTTTCCAACCCTGACTTGGCGTCCACTGTAGTGTTGAGGGCCCCTGTTCCCAACAGGAAGGAAGCCAGTTGCATTTCCATAAAAACATTGTTTTTCTGTCAAAAATACTACATTGTTTCCAGTATTTGTTACTTTGTGTACACTCTGGGGAAGAGCGTTTGAGTGAGTCTGCTTTCAAGTCAACATAAGCAGACTCTGGAAAAATAGTTTAGGACCATTAATCCCAGTGGTTTGTACATTTAATTTTCAAAAAGATTTGAAAAATGTATAAAGAAGGATGGCAGTGGCCCCTCATATATGCCACACATGCTTGGAAGGTCCATGTAAACCAGGGAAAATGCTACCCTTTGAGGCTCACATGTAGCAATACCACCTCATCTGACATCTCTGAGAATGACGGGTCCCATGTAGGAACTGTCTACATAGAACTTCACTGTCTAAGGTCAAGTTTAAACCTTGAAATGCTAAATCTAAGTGCTAAATGCTGAAAGCTAATGCTAAAATGTTTGCATATGTCCTTCCTCTCATGTTTTGCATATGCCCTTGCTCTCTGTGTGAGGCTGAATACTGGTCCAAAGATTGCCCCATCCTAATCCCCAGAACCTGGGACTGTTACCTCATGTAGCGAAAGAGATTTTGCAGGTGGGATTAAGCATCTTGATGTCAGGGAACTGTCTTAGATGATCTGCTGCACCTGATATAATCACACCCATCCTTAGAGATAGAGGCAGGAGAAGTAGACGGCATAGGAGAAGGTCATGTGATGATGGAAGCACAGTTAGAAGATGCTGCACTGCTGGCTTTGAAGCTGGAGGAAGAGGCCACGGGCCAAAGATTGCAGGCACCTCTAGAAACTGGAAAGGGCAAGGAAATGGATTTTCCCCTGGAACCTCCAGAAGGAACCGGCCCTGTAAGAGAAGAAGTGTGTTGTTTTTAGCCACTTTGTTTATGGTAATTTGTTCCAGCAGCTCAAGGGAACTAATACATCTTTTTAGGTAGAGGATGTTGAACACAGTTTTAATGATTATTGGTTCTTCTCCACCTTCCCTCAGTCTCTGGGGTGTCAAGTTAACCTTCCCTTGTTAACACTGGTCACTGAATTTGTTTTAGTTCTGTGACCCAGTGCAGTGATTTCATTAGTAGCTGTCTGAGGGATATAGGGCTTTTAAGGCCTAAATCAAACTATCATGCTCCAGTTTTTGAGTTCTTTCTGTTCCCTTTTCATTATCTTGCTCTTCTTCCCTCAAGCCTGGCTGTGGCCATCAATGTTGCTTTTCTCCTGCTCGGCCTGTGGTTGCCTTTAGCAGTCACCCTGCTTCCTTTGCTTGCATTTTCTGACCCTGTGGACTAGTACCCCAGTGCATCAGGACCTGTGGCATCTGTGTTGCACTAAGAGGCCTTTTTTTCCTCTTGTCAACTTGGCAGGGTTTTGGTTAGGAGCTGCAGAGGTGGGGGTGACCTCTAGTTAAATGCCTCCTCACGTGGAAACAGACACACAGCTGGTGCTTTCAAGATGTGCAGAAAGGGATATGCCAGGCACGGATCGGAGAGAAGTTTGAAGCTTTGGGGGCTTGGGAGAAGTGAGGAACCTGCAGAGCTATGAAGGGAAGGTGGCACTTGAATGTGAACTCCAGGGGCTCATTAGCCTGTCAGAGTCTGACAAGCCTGCCTCTTAATTCCTCAGGTCAAGAACCCCGTGGAAGGGTCAGCAGCCCTTGTCAGCTGGGCCCTGGGCTCTTGATGCTGTCTGAGCAGGCGTGTGCACCCTCAGTGCCCAACTGAGTGGTGCACCTCACACTTCACAGGGGGTGAGCTCTGGATGAAGATCTCCCCTGCGTGTTTTCTCTTGGTAGGTGTCAAGCTAGGGATGCGGTCCATCCCCATCGCCACTGCCTGTACCATTTACCATAAGTTCTTCTGTGAGATCAACCTGGATGCCTACGACCCCTACTTGGTGGCCATGTCTTCTCTCTACTTGGCCGGCAAAGTGGAGGAACAGCACCTGCGCACACGTGACATCATCAACGTTTCCAACAGGTAGCAGCTTCTGGTGTCTCCCAGGTGCCAGCAATCAAACTCAGAAGGAGGCACTTGGGTGGCCTTGAACTGGGGCCAGGAGCCCCAGCAGCAAAGGCAAGAGTGAGCACAGTGTCAGAAGGCTAGGGGCACCTGTGCAACAGCAACTGGGGCCAGATTTGGGGGAAACCTCAGAGGCCTGATGGTGTGGAGAGAGGGGTGGAAAGAGGCTGTCACAGGCTGGAGCAGAGGGAGCTTGCAGAGGGGCACCAAAGAAGATTCTTGAGGAGTCTTGGACAGGACAGATCAAAGCAATTGGATTCTGGGGCCGTTGTCCTATTTAGATGGTGTGGAAACTGGGTCAGAGTCGCCCAGGAGTGTCTCTCACAGCCCTGGGCCTGAGTAGCCATGTTCCTGTTGGGAAAGAACGTGGGGGTCCAGCTGGCTGGGTGGGCTGTGCCAAGGCCCAGCGAGTCTGGGAGAAAGCAGTTTCTGGAAAGTTACTGACTAGCAGTGTGTCATAGCCCTTCCAAGAACTCTGTAATCGTTAAGGAAGAAAGCTATTTTGTGCTGCTTCTCTTTTAATAAACAGTTAATAGAAAAGCACTTCCCACCCCATAAACATGACAGGTTCGCGATGTACTGAGAATGACTAGGAAAAAAAAAAAGAGAGGGCACTGTGGGGGTGGGGGGGCAGCCGGAGTCCACCTGTAATTGCCAGGGCCCAGCAGGGAGGGTGGGTGGGCACGAGGGGAAGTTGTGGGGCTCACTAATTGGATGTGGGCACCCAGGTGGGTTCTGTGGGGAGCTCGGAAGACGAGAGGGGAGCTGGGAACAATGACTCAGTGGCTGAGAGTTCTGATCACTCGAGTGTAAATCCTGTTTCCGTACATCTTAGTGATCTTGCATAGGTGGGAGTCTTGTAGACAAATAAGGTGTACACAAGGACAAAAAGATCTGGAATGAAAGAAAGAAAATCTGGGAAATAGCTGAAATACTTTCATGTTTCTGAGTGTGTATCATCTCTGTGTTTAAATACCTTCCCTGGGCCCAGACTGAGTGCCCTGGGCATTGCCACCCCCGGGTGCAAAGAGCCCATATCTTGCTGAGTGCCATGGCACAGCCATTGGGGCTAACACTGGAGGCAGCTTCTTTCCTCCCTGGTTCCTGTTTTTATCCCCTATGCAGACATGTGGGTGGACCCTATGTTGGTCGATGGCAGAGGAGCCCTGGTGTGTGTATCTGGACACTCCATGACTGGGGGCTCCTGGGGGCACCCCCTTCTACTGCCAGCCATGTTGTTTCCCTGTTCAGATACTTCCACCCGGGCAGTGACCCCTTGGAGCTGGACTCGCGCTTCTGGGAGATCCGGGACAGCATCGTACAGTGTGAACTGCTTGTGCTGCGGGTCCTGCGTTTCCAGGTCTCCTTCCAGCACCCGCACAAGGTTTGGCAGGGGTTGGTAGAAGGGCATCAGTCACTTATGGTTCCCAGCGGCATGGAAGTCTTTGCTCTTTATCCAGAAAGTGCAGTCACCTGAGCCTGGAGCCACACGGGGCCCCGAGGAGGTGCAGTGACGCTCGGGTGGCCTGTCTCATCCCCACTCCCAGGGTTCTCAGGCAGCTCTGATTTCAGCTTCTGCCTTTCTGCCCACTCGGCTGTGGCCGAAAGCTGGGATCCGTGTGCCCTCTGAAGCCTCTGCCTGTCCCCAGACCCATATAAGTTGTGTGTTCACTGACCCACAAAAGCGGAGGCAAGGCTGGTTCATGATCTACTGGAGTGTCTGTTCCTGGGAGTTGCTGCTCCGCCTCACAGCTCACACGCAGCTCATCTGTGCAGAAAACCCTGAGAAAAGTCGGGTCACTGACTTCACTGCTAGGAACACATTCCTCCCAACAGCAGAGCTATCACAGAAGGCAGCCCTGCAACGGTCTCCTTTTGGGGCCTGAGGCCTCATGTGGGCAATTGGCAGGTGGACTGCAGAGAGAAGGGGGAGGCGCTGTGATGTGGGCCTCTGCACTGTGATTTTGTCTCTTTCCCATTGGAATTTTTGTTGAGTGAGTTGTAGATTTAGAAGGAGTCAGAAGAAATAGCCCAGCCTCCCCAAATGGCATTTTGCAAAACTCGAATAAATATAAGATAACAGTCAGGGTGTGGGTGATGATACAGCACCCCTGCCCAAGTTCTGGGTGTTGCTTGCTTGTCATGTGTACTGGTGGCCACTGCCTCGGTTAACGTATGAAACAACAACTTAGTCACCATGGAGGCCTTCCTATCGCCCGTTACCATCTCTTCCCCCCACCACCTCCCTAATCCCAGAACCCATGGTGAAGATGCTCAGCAGTCACGGTTTGTGTCTGTGTGCAGTGCAGGGCTGCCCTCCCCATGGGCTCAAGGAGAGCATGTGTTCAGGCAGAACAGGAGCTGACAGTTGAGCTGGAGGGTGTTTAGAGACTCGAGCCCCCCTGATGTCCTGTCTCTGGCTGGCCCGTGGGGGCTGTGGTCTGTTCTGCAGGTCAGGCCACTGTTTCTGGAGCTTTATGTTTGAGCTGGGCCAAGGGGAGGAGCAGAATAATTGCTGATGGTGTCCGGGGCAGGACCATGTTGACAGAGAGGCCCAGGCAGGTTTCAGGAGCTGGGTTCAGAGGACAAGAGCGGGTGAACCCGTGGGGACCTGGGGCGGGGGTTGGTGGAGGTGGACCTGGTAGCAGGGTGGGGCCAGGCCTGTGGAAGTCACTGGGGCTTTTTTCCCCAAGTGACACAGGGAGATGACATCTGATCTGTGATGTATACACACCGTGGCAGTTTAGGAGAGAGAGGCTGGCAGGGGGAGGGCCTGCAGGCTCCCGGTTAAGGAGGCAGGTGATGGTGGGGGGCGGCTGACTGGCATGTCTTTACAGTACCTGCTCCACTACCTGGTCTCGCTCAAGAACTGGCTGAACCGTTACAGCTGGCAGCGGACCCCCGTCTCTGTCACTGCCTGGGCCTTGCTACAGGACAGCTACCACGGGGGGCTATGCCTCCGCTTCCGGGCTCAGCACATAGCTGTGGCAGTAATCCACCTGGCCCTGCAAGCCTATGGGGTTGAAGTGCCTGCTGAGGCCGAGGCCGAGAAGCCATGGTGGCAGGTGAGGTGACTGCATTGATGTGTGTCCCCTCCCCCCTCACCTTTTCCCTCCCTGAGGACCTTCAGCAGTCCCCACACCAGGTGTCAAGTGTCTTTGTAGCAATTACCTGCAAAGAAAGATACAGGCTACTGGGGAACCTTGAAGTTTGAAAATATCCTGTCGCCATAGCCTAAGCTGAGCTCTTCCCCCTTGATATTGTGGATGTTTGGCGGGGGGGTCACACTCGGCACTGTTGGGGGCAGGGTGGCATCACCAGCCTCCACCCACTGGACACCATGACAACCCAAGCAGTGTCCAGACATTGCCAAGTGTCTCGGGGTGGGGAGGGATGCAAAGTGTCACCCCTGGTTGAGAACTACTGAGCTCAAGCAAGCACTTTTATTGCATTTAGTGGGAGCTTTCTGTAGATCAGACATCAGTAAGTCTGGCATCACATCCAAAGTATTGGGGGTGCCCTTAAATGACAGTGGCTGGTAGGTAGGTAGATAGGCGATAGATACAGAGATGGATCAGTGATGGGTAGATGGCTGGCTGGATAGATGTTAGAATGGGAATGTCGACGGATGATGGATGGGTGGGTGGATGAATGGATCAACAGAGGAGATAGATGACAGCCCTCCTCCTCAAGACTGGCTGGACCCAGGGAGCAGTTTATTGAGAGCTGAGTCAACTGTGTCCGCCAGAAAGGCTGCATGCAGTCCTAGCAGGTTTCCCTCAGTAGTCCCACCGTTGCTTAAAATGGGATTTTGAGACCATTCTCTGTTTTTCCTTTCCCATGCTTGAAATCCGCTGTTCCTTTCTTCATGAAACGAAGCTCATTGTCCCTCCTCGTCCTGGAATGAGATTCCATGTGAGCAGACTGAATTGCTGGAAGACTCCCTCTCTTTGTGCACCACCCCTCCCCTGCGAACCTACAGTGGCTGCCTCCCCCTTCCTGAGCGCCGCCCCACCTCGGGCTGCCCTTCCTCGGAGATAGCAGCTACTCTCTGTGCTTCATTGTCCTTTCCTGCTTGTCTGTCCTTCCCCCTCCCCTGAGGCCAGGGATCTTGTCTACTTCATCAGAGGCCCCAAGCCCAGCGCCTGGGCCTGACGGGTAGTAGGTGTGCAAGTGTCCTCGAACAAAGGCATCTGTGGCCCCAACCTCAGGCCGGATGTAGCCTGATGGCAGCTTGGAGGGAGGAGTGGGAAGGGTAGCTGTGTGGACAAAAGCATTGCTCCATGCTGGACTTCTTGGGGACTTCCTGATTGTGTGACCCCCTGCATACCCCCTCCATTGAATCAGGTAGTGGGCCTCTTTTCTGGGTGACACACTTCCCCTGGGTGAGCCTACTTCTCTGGGCGGCATAGCCATGCTTCCCCCGTTCTTCACTCTCTTTGGGTGGCTCTGGGCTCTGTGCACTGGAGCCCTTGGGCCTCCTCTGGGCATGTGAGGGCCACTTGCTTGCTGATGAGAGACACCTCCTGCTTGCATGCTCCCAGCTGCCACCTTTCTGATGCCACTTGTCTGCTCTGAGTGGGCTTCCCATGCTGCTCAAGAGACTTGACATCCCCCCTGAAGCCTGTCTGCCCTTGGGTGTGGTGGTGGCGGTGGGGCAGCCCTTGTCACCCAACTGTGTTGGTCCTCTGGGTGGATGACGCTCCAGCTCTAAAGCAGTAGTGAGTTGTAGCAGGACTCAGAATTTCCATCCTTTTTAAGGCTGAGTGCCGTTCCATGGTATGGCTGGTCTGAGTCATGTTAGTTCATCCTCTGTGGATGGACTCTTGGGTTGCTTCCAGATTTTGGCCCTGGGCTACTTTTTAATGGTCATTTCTTGGCTTGGGGTATCCAGAAGCATTCAGGTAGTGGATCCTGACAAGCAAGCCTTGGTTTCTGAGATATTCATTTTCTACCCAGAGTGTGGGGTTGGGGGGCGGGATGGCTGGATCTTCCTGAGCTGGATTGGGGAGGGCGGGGGTTTTTCCGGGTCACTGTCTCCCACCTGAGATGACAGCCCATGATAGGTTCAAGCTTCCTTGGGTGTCCATGCAGCAGGGGGGACTCAGGTCCAGCTTTTGCCCCAGCTCAGCCCCAGACCTGGAGCCCAGGCAGCAACCCCTAGGCCTGGGGGCCACAGCATCCAACCAGGGACTCCTTTTTTTGCCTTTTATTTCTGGTGTTATCAGGGGTCCCCAGGAGCACCCTTAAGCTCCATGTGTCACTGGGAGGATTCCCAGAGTTCAGAAAAGCCATTATACTCATGGTTATGAGTGTCAGGGTTAGTTCCTGGGGAAGGATGCAGGTTGAAATCAGCCAAGATAAGAGGAATGGAGGTAAGGTCCAGGAGAGAGCAGATCCAAGCTCCCAGGTCCCCCTTTCATCAAGCAGGGACTTAGCAGTCCCTTCCCAGGAGCAGGGCCAGGGCCAGATCTTACTTGGAAACAGGCAGGGTTACCCCTTTCATTTGGGCCCCTGGGAACTCATCTTGCAATTTTATAAGTTCTGTGGCACAGTCAAGGGGCAGTCTGAGCAATTTCCTGGTGGTCCAGTGGTTAGGACTCTGCACTCTCACTGCTGGGACCTGAGTTCAGTCTCTGGTCAGGAACTAAGATCCCTCAAGCTGAGTGTTGCCACCGAGAAAAAAAAAAAAGGTGGTCTGGTCCAGGCTAGAGAGCAGGTCCATGTGTTCCTCAGGGGCTCACGTAGGGTGGGGTGTGTCCAGTCTACTTCTGGAAATAGACCCCCCAGAAACCATGGAGCTGAGAGCCCAGGGTGGAGGGTAGGGGCTTGTGCTCTGGGCCCAGCTCTGTCACCAGCTCCCCACGTGCCCAGGACAAGTCCCCTCTCCTGTGTGAGCTGGATGATCACCAAAGCCTCTTCTGTCTGGAATGGTCTCCCATAGCAGAGTCCCCATGCCGTCCGTACTCCCATGTACTATGGTTCTGTGCTTAGTGGCAGGTGCCTTGTTTAACCCAGAGACAGTCTAACCAGAGCCTGTTTTCCTTCTCCTTTCTAGGTGTTTAGTGAAGACCTTACCAAGCCAACCATTGATAACATTGTGTCTGATCTCATTCAGATTTATACCATGGACACAGAGATCCCCTAGAGCCCTGGTCCAGGCCTCCCCAAAGAGAAGCCCGGGACGCTTGGCGGCCTGGGGACGGCACCGCCACAGGGCCGTGAAGGCCAGCCCCCAGAGGACCAGCTGGGAGGGCTGGTGAAGGCGATGACTGTCCCCAGCAGCCATGGTCGGGACAGTGACGGGAGTCACGCCTTCAGCGGGCAGGCTGAGAGTGTACCGAGTGGGGCAGCTCAAGGCCAGTCGCTGCATCGACATTTGTGCTTTGAGAGGACCTGACTGCCATTGAAGAGTGATGTCTTCGGCAGGAAAATCTAAGAAGCTATGGGACTGCACCCCTGGGGATTTTTTAAAAGCCAGATTTATAGAAAATATGAGTGAATGTTCAATATAGATGAAAGTTTATTTTGTGTAATAAAAGATAGAAATCAACTGAGATGCCTGGTGTTTGCTCTGTAGCCCGTGCTGCCCTGCAGGTCTGTTGGTACCATCCAGACTCGATTTCTCCTCAGAGGCTCTCCAGGTGGAATTGCCCTTCCTACAACCTGAGGTGCCAAGGGCAGGCCCTCCATCACTTCTGGAAGGGCAGGATGACACAACTTGTACCCAGGTCACAATGGCACCCCCTAGAGGAGCCCATGTGACCTTCTTCCTCTGCTGGGACGCTTGCAGGGCTTGGCAGTAATTCTGTTTGGTGAATGAACTTACATTTTGGAAGGAGGGGTTAAGGACTATCATTTGACATTAAGAAATCTAGATCTGACCAAAATGTATCTAGAAAGTTACAGATTTTTTTTAAATGCTGAAATGGTGAGTCTAGATGTAGAGTCTAGTTAATCTCCGGCCCAAATGTCCTTCTGGGAGAAAGGGTCCAGGCTCCACACATGCTGGTGGGACTGCCCTTCACCATGATAGTGTAGGGCCTGGGGGACTGTCCCAGACACTTCACTGCATTTCCGAGCTTGTCACTCAGGGAATGTGGGCTCTGGACACTGGCCACTGTGCCCCCTGGCACCCACAGGTGTGGGAGCTGGTTGGCATGCCTGGGGTCCACTGGATCAAGGGCATAAGGAGGAGTCATACCTGGGTGACAAGTCAGGCAGCAGGGCTCCCTTGAGTTATAAGTGACTGTGTTCTTTGGCTTCAGGGTGAAGGATATGAGCCAAGGTCCCCTTTTCCACTTTGTCCTTCCCTTTGAGGACAGAATTGGTGCCCAAGCCCAGGGCCTGGGCTCTGAGTGTGGATGGTGGAGTGTGAGGGCCTGGCTGGGCTCTGAAGGTGGCTTTGGCTTTCTTGCCAGTCCTTTTCACCTTGTGCTTTCTAAAAAGCACCTTGCCTCCATCACCCCTTTCCTCCCCACAGGCTGGGTGTGGCCCCCCACCCTGGGACTTGCCTGGCCTGCGTTGACTAGCTCTATCCTTGGTGTCCCCACCCCAGCTGAGAGCCACAGAGCTGAACTGGGTGAGCTCTGGGCTGCGGGCCTAACAGCAGCCTCTCTGGAGGTTTTGTGGCCCTAAGTTTCCTCTCAATGATTATCACGTATCAGGCAAGTTCCTTTGTCTCAATGGGACTCAGTTTCCCACTGTGTAAATCAAGCAGGTTAGACCAAAACATTTCAGAATGTGATGGCTATTTTAACTCCCTCGACCCATGTGTGTTATCTGTCACACTGCCCTGGGGACTTAGGGGGTCACTGAGGGGTTGTCTGTGTGTGTTGTCATTGGAACAGAGGTAAGGAATGGTATTGGGACATATGTGACACTTTTGGGGAATATGTGACATGGCCAGCTCTGCTTTGTAAGGACAGTTCAGTCACACAATATGATTAAAATCCGGTGTAGAGTTGTTTTTGTTTGCTTTGGCTTCCTATTACTGAGGCTTTGTAAAAGATAATAGGGATTAAAGAGATACGGTCTTCTGTCTTTTTTATTTTAGGTTCAAAAAGGTCAATAATGAGAGATGAAGATTTTCTAGAACGCCAGGCCTCCAGGAACTTTCTAGTCCAGAGCACATCTTAATTAAAGTGATAAATCCTTCCTTGGCCTGTCAAGCCAGAGAAAGGAGGGGGAAAACCAGGTCCTGGGAGGGGCTCGGTCCATCTCTCCATCTCTTGTAGCTGGGATGGGGTGTCTGGTGTCCCCCAAAGACATGGTCACGTCCTAAGCCCCAGAACCTGCAGAGATGGGACCTTATTTGCAAATAGAGCCTTTGCAGTGTCATCAAGGTAAGATGCGATCCTACAGGAGTAGGGAGGCCCTCATGCAATATGCCTGGTGTCCTTTATAAGAAGAGAGAGAGACAGACACATACCAGGTGGAGACACAAGCTCATAGGAACAAGGCCCCATGATGATGCAGGCAGAAACTAGACTTACTTGTCTATAAGCCAAGGACTGCCAGTGATGCCAGAAATTGGGGAAAACTAGAATCTGCCTTCTGGCCTCCAGAACCAGGAGGGAAGAAAGGCTTGCTGCTTAGGTCCCCCGAGTTCATGGCACCCACCCGTGTTTCCAGGCTGCCGGCTAATAAGAATGGCTCCCAGCTTTGTGAAGGGATGGGTGTTGTAGTACTTTCCCTGCCTCAAGGCATTGGTGAATGACCAGTTTTATTTTTTGGTTTTGTTTTGTCTCTTGGCAACCTTATTCCTATTTGCTCATGGAAGTCCACGGAAAAGAGAACTCAGATATAGATGAGTACTATCTCCCCAGAAGGCACAGCTATCTTGATACAGTGTTTGTCCCAACCTCCACTGACTTTGCCTTCTTATTTCAGAGGACCTTGTGTGTCAATGAAGCCAGAACTTCTTGCTATTCATTTCTCTGCTGTTTGCTGCCATTTGCCTTTGGCCTTTTCTGGAAGTATAGCCTCAGGTGGTTGGGAGGGAGCTTAGGAGCCATTTTGCTTGTTTCTTGGCAGTTTCCCTGGAAAATGCTCCCTCTGGCACTGCCAAGTCTACCAGGGTGATGTGCACAGTGGAGGAATAGAAATATGAGGAAATAGGATGCAGGGACTTTGGGCCCTGTTTCCACGGGAGTCATTTGCAAATCATGAGCCAGGGTTGCCCTCGTGGCTCTGCTGGTGGGGCAGAGGGGCTGGGCCATGCAGCCCGGCTGTCCCCAGGACAGATGTTCACACAGCTGGCCCCAGCACAGATGTTCAAAGACGCCTGATGTGTGAAGGCATGAATGGTGCAGTGACCCTTGGAGCCAGTGAATGAGGGCAATGATGGGCTTTCTTTTCATGGCTTTGGTTTAAAGAGGAAATCTGTGACAGCAACCCTTGTACACTGCTGGGGGGAATGGAAAAGGGTGCCATGGAGAATGGTCTGACTCTTCCTCCAAAAAGTAAATAGAAGATTACCATAGGTGGAGAACAGTGTGGAGATTCCTTAAAAAACTGGAAATAGAACTGCCATATGACCCAGCAATCCCACTGCTGGGCATACACACCGAGGAAACCAGAATTGAAAGAGACATGTGTACCCCAATGTTCATCACAGCACTGTTTGCAATAGCTAGGACATGGAAGCAACCTAGATGTCCATCAGCAGATGAGTGGATGAGAAAGCTGTGGTACATATACACAATGGAATATTACTCAGCTATCAAAAAGAATGCATTTGAATCAGTTCTAATGAGGTGGATGAAACTGGAGCCTATTATACAGAGTGAATGAAGTAAGTCAGAAAGAAAAACACCAATACAGTATATTAACACATATATATGGAATTTAGAAAGATGGTAACAATGACCCTATATGCGAGACAGCAAAAGAGACACAGATATAAAGAACAGACTTTTGAACTCTGTGGGAGAAGGTGAGGGTGGGATGATTTGAGAGAACAGCATTGAAACATGTATATTACCATATGTGAAATAGATCGCCAGTCCGGGTTCAATGCATGAGACAGGGCGCTAAGGGCCGGTGCACTGGGATGACCCTGAGAGATGGGATGGGGAGGGAGTTGGGAGGGGGGTTTAGGATGGGGGATACATGTACACCCATGGCTGATTCATGTCAATGTATGGCAAAAACCAGTACAGTATTGTAAAGTAATTAGCCTCCAATTAAATAAATTAATTTAAAAAAAGATTACCATAGGATCTAGCAATTCCACTTCCAGGTATCTACTGAAAAGCAGTGAACACAGGGGCTCAAACACATATGTGTACACCCGTGTTTACAGGTATACGTGGTTCACAGAAGTCAAAAGATTGAAGGAACCCATGTCCATCGATGCATGCCTGGATGAAGAGAACATGGTCCAGCCCCACAATGGAGTGTGATTCAGCCTTAAAAAGAGAGCCACTACAACATGGCTGGACCTACAAGGCGTGATGGTCAGTGAGAGAAGCCAGACATAAGGACAGACCCCATATGACTCCATTTGTATGAGATGCCTAGAGTCGTCAGACCCTAGACAAAGAGTAGGATGGGAGGGCACGGGCTGGGGGAGTAGATGTTGGTGTCTAATGGGGACAGAGTTTCCATTGGGGAAGATGGGCAGTTCTGGGGATGGCCGCACACCCACGTGAATGTACTTAATGCCACCAACCTGGACACTTAAAAATGGTCAAGATGCTAAATTTATGTTATTTGTACTTCGCAGCAGTGAAAATAAAAAGACACCATCTGCATGTGTACGAGGGTTCTGGCATTTGGGTAGTGTTCCCTACCCCACCCACCTCTGAGGATGCTAGTCTGGACATTCAGGTGAGGCCCTTCCAGGTCAAGACCATTCAAGCCTGACCACACAGAGCAGGTGAGCCGAGCACTCTCCTCCTTCCATTAGGATCAGCAACGTGTCTGCACCCCCAGGAACCCTGCTGTTCCTGGGGCTCACCCCAGCTTGATGAAGGGGAGAATGTCACCTCTCTAGCTTCAGAGGAGAATTCACCAAATAATAAATCACACACATTACCCAGAGTGAGATTGTAGGAGCCTTGCATTTTTTTTTTAATATACAGAAATTTTGGTCTAGTCTTAAAATTAGGATATTCAACTACAGACTAAATTATGATGCATCTGTGGTCTTCCTCATTAAGTTAGTTTTGTTCATCTTTTTTAACAGGCAGATAAAAATGTAAAACAGATTTAATAACTGAACACAGTTGACCAAGCCATTCCGTATAAGATAATGCTTTAGAGAGAGGGGCTTCCCGGTGAGACAGGGCCCCCTGGTCTGAAGACGCACAGAAACGAGAGCAGCGGTCTGCACCCCACACCCCGTGGAAAGGCACCCGGGGACTAAACGGTCGCCGAGCACAGGAGGCGACTGGATAGCAGCAGTGAGGCTTGCGCTATATGTCAACCATGTGTCCCACCAGTGTGTCTACAACAGAGGATGAAAAGAAGCCCGTGAGCAAAGTGTTCTGCGTGCATCTTCTTCCATTTCAACATTTCCAATTTGAATTATTGTTTAAGAACACACAGACCTGCGACAAATTGAGTTGCCCTGTTTGTTGTTGTTTAAACAAGGACATTGGGGAACAATTTACAAATGGGTAACATTCTCAATGTGCCCTTTGGAAAAAAGGGATGGCTTTAAGTTATCTGTAGCTGGCATTGTGAGTGGGATTTGCCTTTCTAACTGAAATTCCTTGGCCCAAGATATGACTACTCCTGCTCAGGGGTGACATGGTGTTATGTTAACAGTGGGGACTTGAGCGTGCTTGGGATGCCACCCATCCAGACATGCACAGACACAGGTGGAGGTCAGGCCAGCCCTGGCCAGGGGCTGTGGGATGGGCCCAGGATGGGCAAACCAGCCTTGCCAGTGGTCTAGCTAATGCCTCTCCGGCCCTCAGCTCCCAACTGTCCCCCAGAGGCTCAGCTCCTAGGCCTCAGCCGCAGGCTGTGGTTGGACCCCAACCTCAGTGCAAAACGGGAGACAGAATAAGATTCTGAAGGTAAAAGAACTGCTGCTTTTTTCTGCATTTCCCTCCTGGGATATCATAAATTCGAGAAAATTGAGGGCACAGTGGGTGCTCACACTGCCAGGAGAGATCCCCAAGGGAACTGTCCGGGGAACTGAGGCCCAGCCTTCCATGTGGGCTCAGCCAACCATGTGGCAGAGCTGACCTCCTCAGCTTCCCACCTTCGCAATTACAGCCACAGAGATGAGGTACCATTGCCCCCAGGGGCTTGGCATCCCCGAGGTCACCATAGGTGGCTGCAGACCCAAATCCATGCCCTCATGCATCATAGTTATCCTTGAGCGAGAAGACAAGGGTCAGGAGAGTGCTTTGGTGAGGGGTGACTGAGAATTGATCCCAGTCTCTTTAGGGGCACCTCAGCGACTTCTTGGCATTCTCCAAACCAGAGTGGGAGTCCAGCTGGAGGTGCCGATGGGGGCTGAGGTCTGTGCTGTGGCCGAGTCAGCTCCTCCTGGGTTTGGTCCCTCTCTGCTTTCTTTCTGACTCTGCATTCTGCCCCACCTGCACCTGCAGACCTGGCTCTCCTGGATTGTCCCCAGGAGGTCGGGCACATCCAGGGCCAGGCTTCGTGCTCTTCAAGTTGGAGATGCAGACAAAGAAAACCCACCCACTGGCCAGAATTCAGGATTTAGAGAATCGGAGTTGGAGCCAAAGGAAACCGAAAGCAAAACTCCCCCTTCCACCTACTGGAGGGGATCATTCTCAACAATACTTTGGTATTTTCCTTTGAAAGAAAAATTTTGACTTTTTTTTTCTCTATAGGCAGGGGTCTCAAAGTGCAAATGTCCCCAGTGTTCTGATTTTGCCTGCCTTCCTTGACTTTCCTTACTGCTCCCAGGAACTGTGCTGGGAGGATGGGGGATGGAGGGGACTTGTTGGGGGGAGGAGCAGTGAAGGGGGGGGTCCCAAGCAACCAAAAGGAGATTCTTGTAGTCTAGTTCCCTGAAAAAGAAAAAAAAAAAACCACCCTGGCACAATAAATAATGAAATTTCAAAATGAAAATACCCGATAAGAGGAATGGAAATATCATGCCAATAAGTAGTTCCTTATTCTTGAGATATTCATCTGGTCCTCTGTGTGCACACACATGTATATATGCACACACATGGGGCTACGCACACATGCACACACAAACCAACTGCACCCATCCTGGGGAGGGGGTGCTGGGCTGGTGGGCCGCTTGGGTGAGAGCATCTTTCCTGCAAAGTGGCGCTCCCTTGTTGAAACTGTTGATCCAATTGCTCTGCAGTGAGTGCTCCCCCCCACCCCAAAACGACAAGGAGACCTCTGTCCCACTGCACCGCCGGAACAGTGAACATCTGGTGGAATGACAGTGTTCATTTAAAAAAGCTTCCATAGAAAAAAGGGGGGGGAGGACACAACTCTTCTCACTCTCTGATCTCTCCTTCCTCCTCCTTCCCCTCCTAGAATGGATTGGCTTCAGGCAAGGGTGGTCAGGCATCTTCAACAGTCCTCGCGGCCCGTGACCCCGCCCATCCGAGTGCGCATGTGTGCATGGTGCGCGTGCCCAGAGCAGTCCTGCTTAGAGGGACGTCTCCACGCTGTGGAGCGGGCTCCCGGGTCTGGAAGAAAACAGTGACGAGGTAGCTGACTTGGTGCCGTGCGTGGTCAGGTAGACGCCGCTGTCTATGGCATTGTTATTCTGGTTGGGGGAGGGCGGAGGGGGGGCTCGCAGGCGTTCCTCATTCTCATCCACGTCCGTGTCGTCAATCAGCGGGATGTTGTGGGTGTAGTCATTGATTAGAAACTCAGGCGTCGCCATGAAGTTATGGATGGAGGTCTTGGATTCTGGTTTCTCCAGGCCTTCATAGAGGGAGCTACGGAACGCTTTCACCACCCGAATCTGGAGGGGGACAGGGGGAGGGAAGGGAGGAGAGAGGAAGGAAGGAAGAAGGAAGGAGACCATGAGCGGCGGGCTGGCACTGCCAGTTGTGCCCACATCCATGGCAGGGGTCACTGCATGACAAACATTGGTCTTTTGGAAGAGAATGGTCGGAGCCCTCTGTCTGGGTGCGGTTACCTCCCATCACCTGACATGCATGCAGGACAAATGGTAGATATTCTGGAACTCAAGAGCAACGAATGCAGTGGACTGCTGGCTACACGGGAGAGGGGGGGGAGGCGGGGGGATTTCAACATGGGAGATGAGAAAGTTGACTGGAAAAAGGGAATGTGATGGGCCCTGGGCTCTCTACTTTCTCCTCCCGAAGAATCTGGAACTTTCTGGCATGAGAAAAGTCTCCAGCCTCTGGGCAAACGGCAGGCCTTTCTTGAGTGGGTCCCCCTCTGGCTTCTCCAGGTCCTCTCCTCTGTCCCCCAGCTCCCATGCCTCAGCGACTGCCCCTCTTTCTGGAAACTTCCATGACACCGCCCCTTTCTGGCCCTCCTACCTCAGTTTCTGTCTCCCTCTCCTCCACTCTTTCTTACTCTGTCCCAGGGTTCCTAGAGTGCTGGCCTGTCCCTGTCCCTCCTCCTCCCTGTCCACACTGCCAGGCCGACCTCTTGGCCCTGGCCACAGCCCAGGGCTCATCTGGCTGAAACCAGGGATTGGGGCTCAGGCCCCTGCCAGTCCCCCATCTGGAGGCACCCAAGATGGAAAATGGCTCCACTTTTGATTTCTACCCACCAAGTCTGTCCTGCTCGGATGCCCAGTATTTGACCAGGTCATCACTTCCTTTCACAAACCCTTTGCAGTGTGCTCCTAACCTGCCCCTCTTGCCTTTCTCACCCTCCTCCTTTTCAGTCTCCAAGACACACAGCTTCTTTCAGTCCCTGGAATCTGCCATATTTGCCCCATTCTCAGGTTCTCTGGCCACCCCACTGGCATCTGCAGGCCTCAGATCAGCACAAGGGTCCCCAGGAAAGAGCTTCCCACAATGCCTCGCTCCCCAGTTACCGCAGCTCCAGCTGCACTCAGGCAGCCCTGAGCCCCACACCCCCTGCAAGCCTAGCCCCTTGACTTCTGCTGGCGGCCCTGCCTTCACGTCCATGCGTGCTCAAGTCTCATTGGGTCTACAAAGCCGCAGAGCTGCTGCCTCTCTCTGCTCCTTCCTTGGGCCCCCAGCCTGGCCGCCCTCATGCTTCTAGAAGGCAGAATGGATGGGAAACCCTCAGCTGGGCCCCATGCTCACCAACTGGCCCTGTGCTGAGATTCAGAGGCCAGACCCTCCCTATGTGAGTGAATGGACACATGTCAGTTCTAAAGCTACTTCCAAGTCCAAGGTGCTAGGGTTGGATTTTCTTGGTTTAGACAAGATATTGGCAACTGTGGCCCAAGAGCTAACTCTGGCCCTCAACATGGTTTTGTTAACAAAGTCTTAGTGGGGCCACAGCCACACCCATCCCTGTGAGCATTTTGTCTGACTGTGTTGGAGGGCGGAGCCGTGTAGTTTCCACAGTGACTTGGACCACAAGCTAAAAGTACTTGCTCCCTGGTCCTTCATAAGACAACTTCACTGCCCCCTGGTTTCGACCATGAATCCCACTGTTAACAATGAGTCCTTTGCTACCCTCTAGTGTCTGGACACCAGGGTTGGCATTGCTCAACCAAGCTCAGTGCTCCATGATCGGTTTAAACCAGGAGAACCTCACTGTCAAGTGCCAAAAAATGAGCCACACCGCGCCATCAAATTGGAATTTTCTAATTGTATGTCTTAAATCCCATGAGGATTTTCTTGGAATTTGGTGAAGACCCATCTTCTGGCTGCTAGATGGCCATCATTTGTTGTCGGCTCCTTCATTCCCTAGACTGGTTTCTGAGACGGGGCTGACACTAAAATTGAGTGTCATTTTGACCTTTTTAATGAAAAGGAACAGTTCACTTTTTGTAGCCATGGCAGATGTGGCCTCATCATTTGGAGCTTTTCTGGTGCCAGGACTGTGGGGGAACCACGGGCAGCTTTTAGGCTGCATGGTCATGCTGGAGGACATGGTTTGGCTCTCAGCCATACCCCCCAAGCCACAGAAGCTGAAGCAAGTGGCATCCTGCCACCCTCAACCCTGGTGGCCTTCGTGGTAAGTTTACCAGCAGTCATCTGGTGCCCTAGCCACCTCCTTTGTCCTCCCTTGGACCTGGGTCGTGTGATCAGGCCAGGCCTCTGCTCAAACTCACCCTCAGCTCTCCCAGTCCACCCTCGTCAGGGCGGTCCTCCTGGCTGTACTCAAAGACTCATTTGAATGCCTGTCACTAGCCTTCTTTGCTGCCTGGTGCCAAAGCCTGGCACAGAGCAGCTGCTCAGTCACCAACATGAGGTGCCAGGGCTGCCTGCTCAAACATGTGCCTCTGGCTCAAGTCAACCTGAGTGTGTTTACAGCTGACCATGAGTCAGCTTCCCTCCAGCTTCCGTTTCCCTGTATCCCAATCTTGGGCTCTTAACAAATGGCTTGAGATGGGTCTTACGATGGGATGTTTTCAGGCCACCTGCCACCAAAGGGCACAGTCAACCTCTGGGACATGGGTTTTGTGGGAACTGGGAAGACAGGACCACCCTGGAGGCCTGGGCTCACACCCAGGGGCCTAAGAATGTCCCCATGGTGGAGTTGGTGCCTCCCTGTGAAAGCCCGGTCACAGCCAAGTGGGTCCAGCACCCTGCCCTAGCTCCTCTCCTGGCCTGGGACTGTCTCAGAGGCTGGGGCAAGGCCCTCAGGTCACCTCTCCATCTCGAGAACCCCAAAAGGATGTCACTGTGCTCAAGGCTGCCAGTGTTGCGCACAGCTCACAGACTAAGTTGATGCCATCAACACCCCCTGTACTATGACCACCTGCAGCCAGGACCCACCCTTCCTGGCACCTGCTGCCCCTGCACCTCCTGTGGATGGCTAATAGGCCTCTCAAACTGAAGGAGGTCCTGGAGGGACCCCCAGCCTTGCCTCTGCTGATCCTGCCCCTTGCCTCGTCTTCCCATCCAGGGGGCAGGGCTCCGGCTGAACCTTGGAGGCACCCAGCACTGCAACCCCAGGACCGATCATCAGCATGTCTTGCGGCCCCTAGTTCTCAAACCTCTCCCCAGTCGAGTCCTTCCCACCTCCATGGCTGCAGCTGTGTTCCCCGGGGACCACAACCGCCAAGCACAGAGACATTGGGGGCCAGGCCCTTGGATCTTCCCTGGGTCCCCAGGGGTCTTCCTTGTCCCCATCCCTTTTGTCTGACACTGAGTCAGGCCCTGCCCTCGTGTCTAGCAGGTGAGGACTCCAAACATCCCAGCAGCTGCTGAGGTAGCTCTGGGTCCTACTGTGGTGGCACTCACACCAGTCTGTGCATTATGGGACCCCCCGTCCCCCCGAGTCCAGGTGACTGTAAGATAATTTAAAGGTGAACGAAAGACATGAAAAGCACTAGCCAGTGAAGGGGACTCCTAGGTTAGGGCAGGTCTGGCTGAAGCTGGACGCCATTTTGCAGTTTCTTGCCCCATCTCTCATGAGACCCGTTGCAACCCCCACCTCCTGGCATCTGAGAACTGCCATGTTTTCTCCTTCACTGCCTGGGTGTGCCACTTGGCCATCTCCCTGTCCCTCATCTAGGTTACTCTTTGCCCCTCTCTTGGTGCTGTGGTCCCTCCAGCTGTGGCCACGCAGGGCCTCAGCTTCATTTGGCTCTGTTCTCTTCCATCCCTTGCTCTCCACGCCAACCCCTGTTTCCAGGCTGGACACCGGGTCATCCGGGCCTTTTCTTCACCCACGTCCATGCATCTCCTGGGTGCTTCTAGCTGTCTGTCTGGTAAGGAGGCCCTATCTCTATGTCCATACTCAGGGCTCTGCCTGCTTCCTTAACTTTACCTCCCACTCCCACGTCTCCTCCCTTGTCTGGCTGTTGCCACTCTTGACCTCCGCTCTCTCTTGGCATGGAAGCCTGAGCCATGTTTACAAATAAAGTCAGACTGCGTCACACCCTCCAGTGCTCCAAACCCTTCAGTAGCTCTGTCTCCCTCAAAGGAAAAGTACTGCCAAAACCTGCCTCGGGCCATTGTCTTCCTCTTCCTCCTTTACTCTCTGCAGCCCCCTGGTTCTTCCTCAAGTGGGACACTCCTGCCTCAGGGCCTTTTTACTGGCTGTTCCCTGTATCAGGAAGGCTCTTCCCCAGTGAGCCTCATGGCTCCCCTTCACCTCTTTCTGTGTGTAGCTGCAATCCACCCATCTTCCTCAGCAGCCCGGCACCTCTTCTGCCTCCTTTTCTCCCCAGCACGGTTCGCCTTCAAACAACTCACACATCCTATTTATTCTCTGTTTCCTGTTACTGGAACATAAGACCCCTGAGGGCAGGGGGCCCACACATACTGGCACATGTCTCCCATCATAGCTCCCCCAACCAGCACTCTCTACCCGCGTTGCTCAGAACAGTTAGCCTGAGTGTCCCACAAGGCCATCACACCTGCCCCCTTCCCCCACCTAGACTTTTCTTCCACCAGATCATCCTGTCAGCCTTGTCTCCTCATTTGGAACTCAGCTCACAATCCACCCTCTAAGAGGCTGTCTCAGACAACCTTTATCCCAAACAGTGCCCCTAAAGTTTCTCTTATTCTCCTTCCTTTTGTTCTGAGGCTGGTGAGCATCTGCACTGAGCGAAAGCTTACTTCTATATTGTCTGCCGCCTGGAACCTGCCTTCTCCTCACCCTGAGCTCCTTGAGCAGGGACCAGCTCCTGACCCACAGGACCACCGGAGCCACACAGAGGAGGGGTGCTTGTGTCAGACTCTGCCATGGGGCCATGCTACTGATGAAGAGCTGGGGTCTGAGGAGGCAGGGTTGTGAAGGTCACAGCTGAAAGTGGATGGACTGCGCTTTGGTTTTGAATTTTAATCGCTGGAGTTTGCAATGGAGGTGCTGGTGGAGGCAGGGAAGGGCCAT